AATTAATTTAAATTGAAACAGTTGTACGCTGAGTTAATTTAGCGCCCCAAATATATTGTCTCCCATTGTTATGCTACGTTTATTTGTTGTGATGTTGTTGTCGATGGTGTTGTTGTTCTTACTGCTGCAGTTGTGGTTGGTTGGCAGCGGTTATTGTTGTTGGCAATGAAGTAATGTTAAAATTGTGTTGTTGTTGTTTATTTATTGTATTAATGTTATCTATAATGTTTTTGTTGCTACTTGTGTATTTTTAATGTTAGTTATGTTGATGTTGTTGCTGTTGTTGATTTCGTCGCGCTAAGGTCTGTGTTTATAATTTTGTTGATGTTATGATAACTTAACTTGAGTTGTTGTTGTGTTGTTGTTGGTGGTAGTGTTGTTGTTTTTGTTGTTAAATTAAACGACTTTTTTGCCCACCAATGAACACATGTGCAATGAGATTCATTTGCTGCAACTAAACAACTGAAAAATACATTGGTATGGGGGCAAAGATAGACACACACACAACACACACACATGAACATATAAACATACACACGTGTGAAATAGTGTATACGTACAGTGTATGTGGGTGGTGTGTGTAAGAAGGAAGAGAGGGAGAGAGAGAGAGAGAGAGAGAGACAGATGGTGAAAATAGAAAATAAATGAAATATATTGATCCTGAAAAAAAACATGTGAAAGTTTATGTGTTGAGTGACATCAAACCTGGATAAAATTTCTGTTGTAAAGATATTTTTTGATAAAAATAATTTCCGTACAACGTGATAACAATCCATACAAACAAACAAACATACATACATACATACACACATACATACATACAAACAAACAAACAAACATACATACATACAAAAGTAATGTATCAAATAAGTATTTTGTTTTTCCACATTTAAAAAATCAATTGGACAGAGGCGTCTACCTCGTCCAAATTATCAAACAAACAACGTCAACAATTAGACGGATGTCGCCAGTTTTTTTAATTTCCGCTCCCAGCTTGTTCATCATCCCCTCTCTTTCTTATTAATCTCTCTTGTTCTTCTACTCTTCATTTTCTTTTTTTGCTTTTTTCACTTTTTTTTCTTTTTTTTATTCCATCTTTCTACATCTCTTTATTTTTTGTATTTTATTTAAAATTTTCAATTAATCTCTTTAAGTCATTCTTTTGTCATTTCAATCTTTTTTTTCTTAAATTTTCCTTTTCTTCTTCACTTTCCTTTTTTCATATTCTTTACTCTCACCATTTCCTCATTCTCTCACTTCCTTCCTCCAATCTTTCCTCCATTCTCCTACAAAATCTGTTCGTTTAAATTAACTTTGTTTGCTTATCAATAATGTTCTGCTGTTTTGCATCTGTTACTCGGTGTGTATGTGTGGTGTATGTGTGCGGCGTTTGGCGTGTGCTTTTGAACTGTGGCCGCATCGCACGTGTACAGGTGTGTGTACATGTGCACAGGTGTGTGTACATGTTTTACGTTTCCATTAGTTTAATGACATTGTATGTTTACATACATTGTTGTATGTAAACCGTTGTTTATGTACGTTCGTATATATATACGTGGTTTATGTATTTCAGTGTCTCAGTATTTCCGCATCTGTATGTATGCCTTTTTTGTACTAGTATCTTCATGCTTGTGTGAATATTATTGTCGCAGACCTTCTTTTTCCTCATTGCAAGTTCAAAAATGTGTCATTGTGTGTAGATGTGTGTGTGTGTGGTGATGGAATGGACGTGGTCTTATGAACATGTACCTGTCAACACATGCGGATGTCATTGGTAGAATGCACGTGCGTCTTTATATACGTGTGTGTGTGTGTGTGTGTGTGTGTGTGTGTGTGTGTGTGTGTGTGTGTGTGTGTGTGTGTGTGTGTGTGTGTGTGTGTGTGTTGTAAATCAGTACGTTAGGACCTGGAACCTGGAAGCAACAGTTTTTTGAAAAGTTTTTCTATTTTTTGCATTTCTTTAAATTTTTTCAAGTATGTTTCAATTTTTAAATTTTTTACTTCAGTTCAGCGTCCAATTTAGTTTGCATAACCTTACTATGCTTTTTTTAAATAAATTTTTTCCAACCAGAATTTAAAATTGAATTCATATCATGAAAAGAAAATGAGAGAGAGAAAGAGAGAGATAAGGAGTGAGAGAGGGTTTTAATTATATAAATTGAATAAAAATAATTAATTATGATGAAAATAAGAAGAAAGATAGAAGGAGGCAGGCAGACAAAAAGAAAATGAGAAAAAGTAAGAGGAAAAAAGAGAGAAAAAGAGAGAGAAAAAGAGTAGCTGATTGAAAATATCGGGTAAAAATTGATCATTCAAGAACAGTGTCATAAACTTCTTAACCAGGTGTTATCAGTCAATGTTACTTCGACACATATACTTATGTAATATTATATATATATATCATATAAATACTTAGTTTTATTATATTTTATAATTATATTAATTATAATTCTAATTACATCAGCCATCTAAACAAACTGAAAAACCACCACATGGAATGCGCACACAATGGTAGGTAGAACCTTCGCTGGATTACATTTTCCTTCAAGTGGCAATCCAATGTGGTTTTGCTGTCGAAATTGCAAAGGAGGAAGCAGTTGAAACAAGGACTGACACAACTCCTCCATCAATCATTGCTTGTCTTTCAAACTGCAATGTTCGCATTGCGTTTTTCCTATACATCGAATGTGGCCTGGCTTGACTGAAACAAAGTTGCAAGAAGAGACAAACAAAAATAATTTTTAGCGCATCTAGCTTGCATGTGCGATGCGATATACGAGACGAGTCGATTGACAAAGACTGCAACAAAAACATCCAAAAATTAAAAATTGCTTCAATTTCAGTTCTTCAACGAATTTGTGACTGATAAGAAACGAAAAAATTTCTAGATTTTTTATTTGTTGAAATCAGTCTTTCAGTCTTCTAAAGTCCACGCACGATAACTTTCAAATGTGGGCAAAACTAACTATTGTCAATAAAATAAAAATACATCCACACGCTTCCTTGCATACACACACACACACCACACACACACACACACACATACACGCACACAATGAGCACACACACACAAACATACACACATACGCACACACACATACACACACGAACAGACATTTAATATACAAACGTATCGTAACTTTAGTCTTCCTGTAATTTTAGAATCAAATTTAATTAAGCGGATTGATTCAGGCGGTAGGAGGAACAATAACATAGACAGGAGCAGGAATAAGAGCATACAAACTTACATACATACATACATACATACATACATACATACATACATACATACATACATACATACATACATACATACATACATACATACAAAGCAAACAAAGACACAAAGACGGAACAATAGGATAACTACACCAACTAACAAATAACTACATATATACATATATATATTCACATATGCACACACACTCTCACACACACAAAAACGTACATTTACTCTTTATATATTCATGTGACATACGCAAACACACATACAAACACAGACAGACAAACAGACCGACAGACATAACACGGCTGCTCGACAAATAAAATAGAACAAATGTAATTAAAATTTCATTATTCTCAACATTATTTTAATCTAATTATTAACTGTAACGGCCTTCTTTATTTGATTGCAACAATAACAACCAACGACAACGATTACAGCAAATAACAACAACAGCAGCAAAAACAGAAACTAACAACAACTACAGCAACAGCATCAACAACAACACTAACAACAACAACACTAAAAATCACAACCTAAACACCTCTATTATGTCAAAAAACCTCGCAAAATAACTCGGTGACAACTTTTTAAGCAATTTCTTACAGATAAAAAAATCATTTCAACCACATGTCTATAGTTCAATTCTTGTAGTTGATTTTTCGATAACTTCTCATTGTCCGATCAAGCTGAAATTTTGTGCACTCACTCATTTTCAATGATAAGGCATGAATTAATTATCATACCTAATTAAATTGATTAATTTAATTAACTAATTAATTAATTAAAATGCTCTGGGGAATAAATTTTAAACATTTCCAATAAACGCATTGTTTTCCTCCACTCAAAATGCCCATGCTGAGGAATTTGAACCAAAAAGTAAATTTATTAGCTCTATTTCAGTGTTATTCAGCCAAGCTTCTCAGCTGAACTTGAAAGTCAAAAAAGAGTAGTGATTGTGGGATGAAATAGAAAGAAGTAGGGTCACAAAATAACAAGTGCCATCCAGAGCAGATGAGAAAAGAAACAATGAAAAAATAATAAATGTGAAATGATTAAATCATTAAATGATTTATGGTAAGTCGGTCAAGAATATTATAGATTGCAAATTAGCGAAAACGAAACATGGTAACAGTGCAATCTTCCAAATAAAATTAAAAGACCAGAGCATTGAAACCTCAATGTTTTCTAATCTTATTCTGTACCACCAAGACTCAACCGTTTGTTTGAATGAACATCTGTCTGGAAACATCAAAATCGACATATTTTTGGAAAGATTAAAACAATTTGTGTACTTGGGCAGCCACGTGTATAGCGACAGCATTAGTTCAAACGAAAATGGTCGAATAGCACGAAGAATGTGGTAATTTCTAAATGAAAAACAAAAATAAAACATTAATAACAATACGTGTGTTAACTTTCTCTACCTTTCTTTCTCCTCTAGAAGTTTCTGTTCGTACGGTTGTCCACAGTTTTATGCTATTTTTGGTTTTTTTAAGTTCGATCGCTGCCTGGATTTAGCTAAATTAATTAAGATTTATACTCGAATAAATAATTTTTTTTCGTACATTTTCATTCTTCTTTTTAAGCCACCAAAACTATCAATAATATCATCTTAATCTAAAATCGAGTTAAGATAATCTTAAATATTAATTAAATCTAGTTTAAAATTGAACTGAGTGATATATATATATATATAGAGTATAAATGAATCTCTTCATATGAACCGAGTTAATTGCGAAAGTTCACGAAAGCGAATGCAGTCATTTGGCTTTACCTTCATCGCAGTTTGGCTTCGATCGCGTTAAAAATACTTCTACTTCCTGTGAAGTAGGCTGAATTAAATTATCGAATTTGCGATAAAATTACTGAGAATGGAGCCGGCCATGTTGTCTCTCCGTGCTTTCTTTCGTCAGAAGGCCCTTATTTCGTTGGGGCAGGTTAGGATAGATTTAAATTAATGCCAATTTTCCGTTTGTTTTAGGTTTAGTTCACTTTTTTTCAACACATAACCTTGAAGCTTTGATCTCTCTCAATTTAAAATTTTTAAAATCTTAATTAAAGTTAAAGAAGATGTTAATAATATAAAATTAAAAATGTCTGCGTATATGTCTGCTTGATTGTGTTTAATAAATTGAATAACTCTATGTTGAAGTTAGTTTTATTTATAATTCAATTTTTTTTCACAGTTTAATTTAATTTAAAGTTTTAAACATAAAATTTTTATCTGACAGATGAGGGTCTACTCAGCAGCTGCTGCAGCTGCGACCTCAGCTTCCCCCAAGATGAAGAAGTTCAAAGTTTATAGATATGTTAGTCGTTGTTGTTAGTTGTTACTTGTTACTGCAGTAATGTTATATAATATATTCATATAGTTGTTCATGTTAATTTTTTATTACTGTTTGTGTTATAATTATTATAATAATAATAATATTTACAATGTAATAATTAACATATAATTTGAGACACCACCAGTTATTTTATCATCTTCCAGATCTTAATTTCCATAGAAACTGTTGTCTGTCTCTAACCTGCTAATTTAATATCTAATTAGTATCCCAATTTAGTTTTTATACCAGTAAGATTTCTAAAGTAGACTTTTATAATTTTTTTCTAAACTAAACAATTCTTATTATTTCATAACTTGTAAACTCATCTGAATTCAGGACCCGGACAAGCCTGGAGACAAACCCCACATGCAGACATATGAAATTGATCTGAATGATTGTGGACCTATGGTTCTTGATGCTCTGATCAAGATAAAGAATGAGGTTGACCCCACGTTGGCCTTCAGAAGGTCATGCCGCGAAGGCATCTGTGGGTCATGCTCTATGAATATCAATGGGGCCAACACCCTTGCTTGCTTGTGGTTAGGATTTATGCAGTTTTTTTTAATAATTATCTTTCAAAATTGTATTTTGTAGGCATAAAATTTTCATTTTATTCAGCATTTTTTGAAACAAATTGTTGAATCTAAAAGAATCAATTATTGAATTAATAAATCTTTTAACGTGAATTTGGCTGTTCGTTTTTGCTAATTCTTATCGGTGCATGTAATCAATTCAATATTGACCTATCTTATCCTTCAATGACATCAACATTAAAATGACATCACATTGTAACATTACATGGTGCAGTCCTATCGACAACAACCTGGGCAAGACGACAAAGGTCTACCCACTTCCTCACATGTGGGTCATCAAGGATCTCGTTCCGGTTTGTTGGTGTTCATTTCTTTGTAGTATACATGGATGTTTTTGTGTGCAGTATGCTTGTTTGTGCGCCAAATTGGTTTAACAACAATAAATTTATTTTTTCACTTTCAAGAAATTAGTTCTGCAAATTTATTATTTCACCATCATTCAATCCACCGTTATTATACTGCCATCACTTCCTCACCACTGACTGACAACCATGCAACCACCGCAGGACATGAACAACTTCTATGCCCAGTACAAGTTCATTGAACCATACCTTAAGAAGAAGAACTTCAATGAAGAGGACCTCGGCAAGAAGTCCTTTCTACAGAGTCCTGAGGATCGAGCTAAGCTGGTTGGTTGCTGTTTTTTTATTGGTTTATTGGTCATTTGTTTTTTGGTTGTTCATTAGTTGTGGCATTGGTCCACTGTCATTTGTATGTCTTTTGTGGATGGTCAGTTGCTGTTGTCTCTTGGTCCGTTGGTTAAGCTGATTGGCTATTTATTTATTTCCAAGTGATTATCAGTCGTTTATTTTAAATTATTTATATTCCATGAGACTATATGCAAATATTGAATGTTCTGAGTTGAAATTATTTGACTTCTCATTTGAAATTTGGAAAATTACGATGAACTATTTGTTTTTAAAATGTTTTGATGATTTTAATTTACTGATCTAAGAAGAACAATGTTACTACACAAGGGTGCTTGGTCCAAAATTATTTTTGCGCGTCATTCATTGCAAGCTGTTGATATCAGGCCATTGTCAAATCATAATCATCTTGATGTCGATATCAACAACATTATTGTCACTATTAATTATATTTTTATTGCCACCATCATTGCCATCCTCACGCCATCCTCTCACTGTGAATAGGACGGCATGATTGACTGCATCCTCTGTGCGTGCTGCTCTACATCATGCCCAAGCTACTGGTGGAATGGTGACAAGTACCTGGGACCTGCAGTCATCATGCAGGCTTACAGGTTGGTTGGCTGGTTGACTGGTTGGTTGGTTGGTTGGCCAGTTGGTTGGCCAGTTGGTTGGCCGGTTGGTTAGCTGGCTGATTGGTTGGTTTTATAATTGGTTGGCTTGTTTTTAGTTTGATAATTAAAAACGGAATGATTTTTATAGGTTTTTTTAAATAACTGTTTTTATTTATAAACTTTTCCTCTGCTCCATCCAGATGGATTATGGACAGTCGAGATGACTTCAAACACGAGCGTCTGGCACAAATGAGAGACGAATGGTCCCTTTACAGGTGCCACACCATCATGAACTGCACCAAGACATGTCCCAAGGTTTGTCTGTCTGCTGTCTGTCTGAATTAGTGACTGGTTGATTTTTTGGTTGGTTGATTTGCTGTTCGGGTTGTTTTTAGTTTTCTGTTTATTTAGTCAGCTGTTCAATGAGAATTGAAACGTGTAACATGTTAATGACTTCTTTTGTGGCGAAATCCCTACCCTAGGTTATGCTTCCCATGCTGTAAAGAAGAGGCAATTTATCATCCTTATTAACATTATAATAGCCCACATTATCAATTAATTTGTACGATTATGTTTTCAGTTAATTAGTTGGTTGATTCTTTTTATATGATAGTCATTTGTATTGTATATACAATTTTTAATTGGAAAAAGCTTCAAAAATATAAAAATGATGATAAAGCGACACATGGTTTCATGCAGGGTTTGAACCCAGGAGCTGCGATAGGTGAGATGAAGAAGGTCATGTTAGGATATGCGTCCCATGGCATCCCAAAACAAGGATAGATCAGTCCACGTGGTTGGTAAGATCAGTCAGCCAATCAGCTTGTTTGTATTTTTTACGGCTAAGGATTGGTCTGTGTGCTGACCAATAGGTGATTGATTGGTTGATTGATTGATTGGATGATCTTAATTTTAAAACTAGGGTTAATTATTGTAGAATTATATTTATAGTTTTTGTTATTTGTACTTGTACAATTGTCAACGGTGATGAAGATGGTGACGAAGATGATGGTGGTGATTATGAGAATGACAAAAACCTAACATAACCATTTAATCATCTTAAGTTTAATGATAATAAATAACAATAATATAGAATTAATAATAATAATATTATTATTATTATTATTTCTATGAAAACATCGTCACCATTGTTAATATTTTGTTATTGTTATAACTGTTTGGTTGTTGTTATTTTTATTTTTGTTGTTGTCACAAATCTCTGAATTTATTATGCAGTGCTCGTGTGGGTATAACCAAATAAATTGTCGATAAATTATTGTTGTTATACTTAGCTGGTTGATCACTTTGTACGTACCAAACATTCTAAATCAACCCTTCGTTAGGTCTTATTATAGCTTCAGTTTATTAGTTCATTTGTTTAAATTTTGTTTTATAATTTGTTTTCCATCCATTTATTTATTTATTTTTTGTTTAGTTTGTTGAGAGGAAATAACCAATTTTATCGTTTGCAATTCTAGAATTTATTAATTTGCAATTTATTTAATTATTAATAAAATATTTAGATATTAATTATGGTTAGAAATAGTTTGGGTAATGTTCTATCCGTATATTAATTATTGGAATAAGTGTTGCTATGTATACTTAAATTTTTTTTCTAAATTTATTTCCGAGATTTTGAAACGAATTTCGTTGCTACAATACCAAAAAGTTGGAAGAATCCTTGCTTCCAATTTTGTTTTTTGTGAACGCCACGAACAGTTTATGAGAATAATTATATTTGAAAAGACAACTTCTACTTGGACATCAAAAAATTGTATTGCAGTCTGTGTGTGTGTGTGTGGTGTGTGTGTCTGTCTGTGTGTGTCTGTCTGTCTGTGTGTCTGTCTGTCTGTGTGTGTGTCTGTCTGTGTGTGTGTGTGTCGGAAGTCGGATATTCTTTTTTACCCGGCTCAGACCAATAGCAACTGATTGGATGCGCATATGAATATATGAGGATAGGATTGTTATCTTTATTATTCGTCTGTAAATAAGCGAATGAACAATGATAAGCGTTCACCATTTTATAATACGCATTGATCAAATAAATTATAAATATATATATATATATGTACGTATATATATATTTATGTACATAAATAATGTGCGTATGTACGTGTGTGTGTGTGTGTAAATTGTGTGACGGTAGATATTGATATTTGGAGGAAGAACATCCTACAACACCGAAGACGGACTGATGAGAAAATATGACATTAAAAAAATAAAACATTATCAATTAATACACTGCAACATTAAGAAAGTCATTAAGAAAAACACACTTGTATTATGTAACTGTGTGTGGATGTCTGTGTTTATTTGTGTGTGGTGTGTGTGTGTAAGAGTATATGCACGCTTAAGTATATACATTTATCATGTGTGTTTTGGGTATATAAATGTATTTCATGGGTGTATGTGTGAATGCATTTTGTTGTGATATTTATTCCCTTGCGTGTATATGTATCTGATTGTGTATCTGTGTGTGCGTGTTGTGTTTGTGCGCGCGTGTGTGTATGTGTGTGTGATTTTAAATGCACGAGAGTTCGTACGACGGAATAAAAGTACAACACGACCACACTGTGATAATGACGCTATTTAATGATGTTAATTTAATTTAACGATGACGATGCAAATGACGGTTGTGATAGTCGGCTTGATGATGACGCTAACGATGAAGAAATTGTTAATGATGATGAAGAAGATGTTTAGAGATGAAGAAGATGTGAGGATCACGAAAATGTTGATGATAAAAACGAGGACCGGCGGTGTATGCAGCACATTAAATTTACGGAGAAAAAAATTTTGCACGTTCGTCTGTTTGTGCTTAACAACGACAACAAAAACAAAACTTTGGAATAGAATGGAAAAAACTTTGAAAATAAAAATCCAGTGGCTGCTGTTGAGTGAATTTCAACTCATGGAAAACTTCGAAACGTATTAGCACAACCAGAGAATATGTTGAAAGTTGTCAGGAGTGAAGTGTATAACTAGGAAAAAATGAAGTGCTGGATGAAAAACTGCAAAAAAAAACAAAAATAAGATATTCACATTTTTATAACTCATCTGTGTTTGTGTTGTGTGTGTTTACGTGTATGTGTGTGTTGTGTGTATTCACTGATATTTAAAACATAATTTTAGAAACTGATGACACAAAACTTACACGCGTAGAGAAAAAATGGAGATGGTGTTTAATTAGAGAAAAAAGTTAAGTTATTATACGACAACCATTGAAAAGTACAACCTCAGCAAAGATGGCGCGGAAATGGAAAAATATTTTCAAAAAAAAAAAAAAACCAAACACCCTGCTGTCTGTCTGATCTGCAGTTCAATCTCATTTCACAACATCGTCCTTATCGTCATCATCCATATCATCATCATCTTTTTCATCATCCTCTTCAAAAGTTCATCAAACGGATAGATCGATCGATGTTTTTTTTTTATTGTTCTCAAAGTAAATTAATAATGCATAAAAAATCAACAAAATAAAACAAAACGAACAAAAACACACTGACTAGACTAAAAATCACGTTACAAATTCAACCAACAATCAAGCAAATAATTCAGCAAACAAACAAACGAACGAACGAACTTTCAATACGAAAAGAAAGAGATCTAGGTCGGGAAATTGAAGGTGATTTAAAAAAATAATTAGGTAAATTAATTAATTAATTCATAATAACCAAATTATAGAAGTTAATTAAAATAAATCAACGAATAAATAAAAGTTAAAATAATAATCCACCACAGAACAAACAGTCGAAAAATAAATTTCAAAAATTTGAATAAAAAAACCAAAGACAAAAATTTAGAACTAAAAAATTATGTCAACTAAAAATTCGGAAAAATAAATCTTTTTCAAGGTCAGATGCAACGGAAGAATGAAAATGCAGCAACGTGTATGTAACGCGACCACGTATTCAACATTACGCTAACAACATATGACGTCATCAACATTACAACAACAACAACATGTAAGTAACATTTGACGTCATCAACATTACATTAAAACGAAAGTAACGTAACAACGACATCACATTAACCTGTAAATAACATAACAACAACAACACTACGTTGAAAACATGTAAGTAACATAACAACAACATTTCATGGGCATGTAATTAACATAGCATTACTTTAAAAACATGTAAGTAACGTGACGTCATCAACGTTACATTAACAATTAGAGCAACGTCCTTCGTCAGCATATAATAGCGTCAAGTAACAAAATGTTGACGCGATATCTTTATAATGTAAACAAACAACAACACACGTTTAGACGACATTTTCCCTGAGATCGGGGGTTGCCGTTTGGCTACCTATGATGAAACCGAAATACCCCTCGACGCCATTCACATCTGTCACATTGTCACTTCTGTCATCATAAGTAATTTATTTGGCTAATTTTTACGCAGGACGCCCTTCCTTACGCAACCACAGTTATAAGCGGTGGGCCTAGCCTTTGATGATCCAACATCACTCACAAGGCAGTGAGGGTCAGTTTAATGTCATAACCAGGACTAATGATATCTTTATAATGTATAAAATAAAATGTGTAAATTAACTGAAAGTACTCATAAGTTAAATTGAAAAATGATGGTGGATGAATGAATAAATGAATGAACGAATGAATGAATGAATGGACGAACGAATGAATGAACGAACGAATGAATGAACAAGTGAATTAATGAACGAGTGAATGAATGAATGAGTGAATGTGTTGAAGTTGAGTACAGCCCAGGCAGACTAGATGATTCAGCAATGATTAGAAAAAGTATAAAAACCCCTGTATTTAAGAAAATCAACAACGACTGCAACAACGACTACAATAGCTACAGCCACAAACAACGCAGCTATAAAAAAGACAAATATTTTTAAACAAAAATTGCACATTTTAAAATGAAAAATATATAATAATTAATAAACGAAACCTAAACAGTTTGTATAAAAAATAAACAAATAAAATGAATGGAAAAACAAATAAAATGAATGAATGAATGAGTAAAAATAAAACTAAAAAATGAAAATAAATAAATAAAACATAGAAAGAGAATCGTTATTGTTGCTGTTCATTTTGAATGTCAAGGTCGGTCCATCCTGAACGAGTCTTCGGCCAGTGGGTCGGTGAAGATGGTGGAGTCGGCCAACATTTGAAGTTCTTCGACCTCCAGGGGGTCCAGGGCCAGCCTGAGGGCATCTTCTGAGGCAAACATCTCCCCGTCAAATGCGTCTGTTTGTGAGGCAGGTGTTTCAAATCTATCAATCCAATCATTCCTTCGTTCAATCGATCGTACAGTCAATTAGTTCAATTAACGATTTAACTATCCTTCATTCATTCATTTATTCATTCGTTCATTCATTCACTCATTCATTCGTTCGTTCATTCATTCATTCACTCATTCATTCGTTCGTTCATTCATTCATTCATTCACTCATTCGTTCGTTCGTTCGTTCATTCATTCATTCATTTGATCAAATATATTAGATAGACTGGAACTTTTAACTATGTCACGTCTAAATAATAATAATAATTATTATTATTACTACTACTACTATTTATTATTTATTAATTATTATAATTATTATTTTAAAAATTATTGAAACCGACCTAAGCATTTTGGATCATCTGTAATCATCTGTGAAGCGTAAAGGGCCAAGTCTTCCGCTAAAGTAAAATTGTCATTACTCATCATCATTATTATTTTTATAGTTGTTATTATTATTATTATTTTTTTTTTATTATTATTGAAATAATTATTATTACTAATAATGTTACTAGTACACGTTTGGATTTGCAAGCATTGACACCCAGCACACAAGCTCTGAAAGGGAAGCTTATTTCTATATTCCTGGTGTTTAGTTTGGATTTGTGGGAGGATGAGGAGCAAAGGTTTTACAGCTGTTTGGATGAAGTGGTCTAATGAATGAGCCGCAGATTTGATCGGCAAAATCTTCCAAACGTGAGAAAGCTTATGCCATTCGCTCCCGGCACACTTTTTAACAGGCGCTATATAAATGCCAATGAGATGAAGTAAAAAAGTTGTGGCTGAATTATTGGCTTCCAAAAAAGCATACAAACTGCTAAGTAATAACAAAAAGAAGGAAAAACCCACTGCAGATGTGGAAATAATTTCTGATGACTAAGATGATGTAAATGTTCCGGTAGCAATCTAAGTAATTATACACAGCTACAGAAAGCTCTTCATCAGCCATCTGGCTCCGTATTTTGATGATGCATTACAAAATTTTTGGCTATACATTGGGAGGAAAGAGCTTTAAGTAAACTTAAAATCATAAAACGTCATTTTCGACAATCTAAATTTAAATTATTATTTTAATAATTAATTGCCAGAAACCAATTAAATTTAAATTAAATGTTGAATAAATGGAATTGTTAATAATAAAAACTTGAACTAACCAGTCAAAACTATGTCAGGGGTGCTGTTAAAGTCACATGGAATTTTGTTATTATTATTATTATTATTGTTGTTGCTGTTGTTATTATTAACAATTACATCAACATTGCTGTTGTTGTTATTAAAGATGTTGTTGGTGGTGGTTGGGTTGTTGCCGTCAGGTAGGAAATATTGATTGTTTGGATTGGTGTTGACTTTAAAAACAATTCTGTTGCTGCTTTCGTTGGGTTGAGATGAGATGTAATTGGCAGCGATTGTTGGATCGTTGTTGATGTAATTGTTGATGTTGCTGTTGTTGTTGATGTGAGGAGGAGAAGGTGTGAAAGGTTGTAATGTGATGTTGTCTAAACTGTAGTCCAGTGTCGATGGCGGTTGTGCTGAATGTTGCTGTTGCTGTTGTTGTTGTTGTAATTGTTGCTGATGCTGTTGTTGCAGTGGTGGCGATTGTTGTTGCTGCTGTAGCTGTGTAACTTGATTCTGAAAAAATGACGTCACCAATTAGAATGCTCGGTCATTAACGTTTCTACCAAAATATATACCAACTTATTCAAACTTATTAACTTTTGAGATGAATAAATTGAAATCTAACCACAGTAATTTTCTGAAATTTTTGCTGTAAAAAATTCGTGTGACTCTGTTGCAGTTGCAATTGTTGTAGTTGTTGCTGATGATGTTGTTGTTGAATGTGTTGCGGAATAATATTTTCTTGTTGCACAAATTGTTTTTGCAACAAAAATTGATTTCGTTGTTGTTGTTGCTGCTGCTGCTGCTGATGTTGTTGTGGTATGAGGTGCTGATGAGCAATTTCAATTCTTTGGTGTTGAGGTTCGGTGTTGTTTAAAATGTTGACAACATATCCCTTAGCTGCTATTACGTTCTCCTTTTGCTGAACAGCTGCTACGACAGCTGCCTGTTGCTTAGCAGCGGCCTCTGCCAAAACATTGTTAGTGTTGACGACTGTTGACGCATCTTTGCCAGGAGATTTCGGACTGACAGTCTGTGGTGGAAAGGATTTGTTAAGAGTTTGTTCGATTTGTTCAAAAGTACCTTACAGATGGATTAACAATTAAAATGACATCGAAACACAACATGACAGACTGCAGTGCCATCTTGAGACCGCAACAACATCATGCAACAACATCATGCAACAACATCATGCAACAACATCATGCAACAACATCATGCAACAACATCGTGCAACAACATCATGCAACAACATCATGTAACACAAAATATAAAACGCTGAACAAACAATGTTTTGTGAGCAACTTTAAAAAAATAAAGCAAATGTTCAAACGGGAAAAAAATGTCCAGTGAGAAGTTGTTGAGTTTGTAAGGTTGGAGCCACAGTTGGAAAGAAAACAACATTTGAGTTGAACTGAGGTTGTTGCTGTTGTTGTTGTTGCTGTAATTGTTGTTGCAATTGTTGTTGTAATTGTTGTTGACGATGTTGCTGTTGGTGTATCTGTGATTGATATTGTTGCTGCTGCTGTTGATTAGCAACATTTTTATGTTGTTGTTGCAACAATTGTTGTTTAATCAACTGCTGTTGTTGCTCAGGTTGTAATAGAATATGTTGATGTTGTTGCTGATGCGGTTGTTGTTCATGATCATGTTGCCTCAACTTTTGTTGAACGCTGACGCCCTGCAGCAGCAACGTGTGCAACAGTTGTTGGGAATTATTTGGCGAGGAACTTTGTTGCGACGGTGATGATAAGGACTTCGGCGACAGCTGACCCAGGCTACTGGATGCGGGGGAGGAGTCGATGGAGTTCGTGGGCTTCTTTTGAGGAAACTGTTGTAAATTTTGCAACTGTTGTCGTTGTTGCTGCTGCAAAAGTTGTTGTTGTTGTTGTTGCTGCTGCTGTAGAAGTTGTTGCTGATAGAGTGGCAGTTGTTGGATGTTGAAGTTTGGAGTCAGCTGGTTGCAAGTGTTGTTGATCTGTTTCCGAATTATTTCAACGTAGTAGCAAGAGACATGTCACATCTGATAAAACCTTACCACCCACCCTCTCATCATCATCATCACCGTCACCCCATCATCATCACCACCCCATCATCATCACCACCCCATTATGAATAACATAATCGCATATATCACCAACATTATAATTTCAACATTTAAATAGTTATAATCAAACACTTCATCATCATCATCTTCATCATCATCAACAACGACAGCAACATTATTATCATCACAATCTTCATCATCCTCATCATCATCGTTACTTGTTGTAGGATCTCAATGTTGATTTGTGACGGGTTGTGGACGTCACTGGAAGATGGTGGAGGTGTGATGAGCTGTGGAGGAAGGAGAGGAGAGCTCTGTTGTTGTTGTGGTTGTTGTCGATGTTGTTGCAGTTGTTGTTGCTGTTGTTGGTGTTGTTGTTGCTGCTGTTGATTGGGATAGTCAGTCAACAACAATCCCGTCTACATGAAATGATCATTTTTTTTGGCTAAATTAGATCTCATCATGCTATTCACGATGACAATAACTTAAACAATATCCAAGACCAACGTAAAATGCATACATCCTAGCTCTCTTCAGCCCAAAATTTGTTGTACCGTCATAAAATGGTTCGTACTATAATCAAATATAATTGAAAACAGTTTGGCTGTAGTTGTAGAGTAAGGTCTTAAAAATCAAAATTAACCTCTTTCACCTTTTAAGGACTTTTTTTTTGATCACCCTCATTACCATAATCACCCTCCCCATTTCAACCATCGCAATTAATCATCGCCTTAATCATAGTTCCTTTCATTTTACCCATCGTAGCCATCACCATCACTACACTCACTCACCTCATCACAGACAATGGCACTGGCGTCCATGATAATGAAGTTACTGTCCCTGAGGACCAACGGGGCAGGTACTGACTGCCTCTGCAGCCTCCCAACCCCCCCTACATTACTAACCCCTACCACGCCCCCCACCATACCAGCATCATCCGCATAATCTTGCTGTATGTATACAGGGTAATATGAACTACTGTTTATATTTTTGTTGTTGTTTTTGATTTTGTTGTTGCCGTCGTTGTCGTTGTTGTAGACACCGAACTGATATGTTGTTATGTTGCTGTTGTTGTTGTTGTTACTGTTTACAAAGATGTTGTTGTTGCTGCTGCAATTTAGGTTGTTTGGTAAATTGGGTAACGAACCCGAGCAGTTGTTGATGTTGTTTGTTGTGTTGGGATTGAGTGTTGCTGATGATGGTAATGATTGATGTTGTTGGTGTTGTTGTTGTTGTTGTTGTTGTTGTAACGCCATGGCGACAGAGTTTAATTCCAGCGATGGACAGATGCTGAGGTTAAATTTTCAGTTTGGGTTATTTTCTAAGAACAATAGTATGAACGATAACGAAATAAACTTAAGTAAATTAAATTATAAAAAGAAATAAATTAAAATATATTATCATAATAAATTACTCATTCAAAATAATTATTCAAATAATTAATCAATAATTTAAAAGTTATTTTGATTAAATTTAAATCAAATTTAAAAAAAAAAGATAACAGGAAAATGTATGAAAAAAATACTTGATGTCTGGGACACCGCAAGACTTGGGTCGACCGACACCCTGTAATGTGAACATATTTTATTTATCCAATCGACACAATGAAACTATAAGATATTAAGATAATAAATTGTAACTAAAATGTTAAATTGAATAAAATAAAATAATCAATAGAATAAAAATAATCAAATGTATGATCCACCCATCCTCATTGCCAATGGCAAGTGCATGGGTGTAAGTTATATTTAAAATAGCATTAGGCAATGTTTCTGTCACAATAAATTCCATATGACGAGCTGATAACACTGTTTATTAATTTAAAGTTGAACGGTATTGACCATTTAAATTTAAATATCGATAGATTAAAATTGTTACATAAACCAATTGGCGACAATTCAAATGTATTAATTATTATAGAACAATCTTTATATTCTTTATTTAGATATGCATTTAAATTTTTATATTTTTGTTGTTTATATTGTTTCGATGAAATTAGATTAGTTTCATGGCATATCGTCAGTTCTAATATTTCAATCTTATTGCCCCTCAAAATGGCAATGTCTGGTCGTAGCGTGTTGAATAGGAGTGACATTGGACGAATGCCTTCCCTTTCCAAATCTACAAACAAACAGCAATCGTTTGGAGCCTGTAACTTCGACTCGTCCATCATCAACGCCAGTATTTTATTATGTCTATCTGTGTATCTCTTCAGAGCCGATGTTGAACCACAGTTAGACACTACATGCTTGTTTGTTTGTCGAACGTTACACAGTGGGCACAAGGGAGTTGTGGTTTTGCCCCATTTGACCAGATTTGAATTTATGGGCAGTTGTTGAATTATGTATTTTCTCACAAATCTGTAATGTATCCCGGACATGTTGTCAACAATTTTCGACCAACAAGTTATCCGTGCCGTAGTAATAAGTTCGCCAGTTGACCTGAGCACTGTACCTTGAGATTGAAGTTCGATGATGTGGTTGAGACATGACTTCACTCGGGATTCATCAAGGAGTTTGAGAGACTGCTTTAATGAGCCTGTTACTTTCAGCGAACTGTCAGGTTTGACAAAGTTTGAAGAGGTTTCGTGCCATAAGCATTTAATTTCTTCATTATCGCTGTTCTTTAAATAGCTGCGAACTTTCATTTTTGTTTTTTCTGCAGTGTCTCTTAGTGACATGATGTTATTACCCCCGAGTTTCATTGGTAGTGAAAGTATCTCCGCTACACATCCGCTGATCGGCATCGAGAGCCACTCCCTGACTTTACTTACGATCAAGTTATCTAGGTTGGACGATATCCATGTTGGCGAGAAATTATAGTTGCGGAGTTCAAATTGAATTTGTGTTGGAATGAAGTATCGTAGTATTTTTAGTCTCTGTTGCGGTCTGATGTCAAGGCCAGAGGTGGTCTCCAGCAGTTTGGTCAGTTTTGCGCTAACTTCCTTTTTGGCTCTTGTATCCTTACCTTCAAAATCATATAATCTACCTAAGTAGACAAAACTACTTCCAATTTCTATGTTTGGAATGACTTCATCATCAATTGTCAATCTCGGAGAGAATTGTTCGTAGGTCCCCTCTTTTTTCCTCATGCCAAATGAGTTGCATTTGTCGATTCTCATTTTCATTTTTGACCAATTGCACCACGCGTAATTCAAATCGATTAGTTTCTGGGCGCCTTCAGAACTGTGGGCGATAATCGCTGAGTCGTCAGCAAATTGGAGCCAAGATTTGGCTTTCAGTCCTGAAGTTGGGCCCCAGAAATAACCACAGTTAGTGTACTCTTTGGTTTCAAGGATTTTCATCAGCGGATTGAAACATAAATTAAAGAGTAGCGGAGAGCACGGATCACCCTGGAGGACACCTTTCTCGACCGGTAGTGTTGATGTTAATTTGTTGTTAATTGAAATGGTTATTGCATAATCTGAGTATATCGACATTATAATTGATTTAAGCTGTTGAGGTACATGGTGAAATAATAGTATCGAGTCGATTAGAAAATGGCTGACTTCACCGAAAGCATTTTTCAAATCCAGCAAAGCCACTATAATCGTTCGCTGGTTTTTTCTGGCATCTTTTAACAAATGATTTAGCATCTGTGTATGCTCCGTCAAGCCATCGACTTCAGGATAAAATCCTTTTTGGATGTTTGTGTTGATAAATTTATTTTTTTGAAGAAATTGGTATAATCTATTTTTTATAAATGTAGCTAAAACTTTATATAGAACGGGTTGTAGCGTTATGGGCCTAAAATTTCCCGGGTCGCTGGCGTCACCCTTTTTATAAATCAAGATAGTTAGGCCCTTTCTCCAGCAACTTGGAATCGTAGATGAGGCCCAACATTTTGAGAGTAGTCTATGGAGATAAGTTTTGAGGATAGGACATCTTTTGAACATTATTATCCATATCTGATCTAGAGGGCATGGAGAGGCCCTGGATCGAATTTTGCGAATGATAGATGAAATTTCCTCATAAGTTGGCGGATTAACATTACCACTGAAGGACGGATGGAATCCACTCAGGAATATTAAACTCTTCATTATCCTTCGACTTCATTACGTTGCCAAAGTGGCTACTACCCTTTTCGACGTCGAATAATGGAGGTAGCGATGTGGTTGGCGAGAACGTTTTTCTGCATGTTCTCCAGAAATTTTTTGACAGTTGACTAGATATATTTAATTGATCGTCACCCTTCGCCAACTTCGCCCCACGAAGTGTTGATCTAATTTGTTTGCTCAGATTTTTTATTTCGTTGTTGTAATTGTTGTTGTTGCGTCCGAGAGTTTTTAAGATTTTAAGTTTTTTCTTTAGTTGTTTGATTTTGGCGTTGACTGATGTTGAGACGATAGGTTTTTGTGTACCGTATGAGTCGGCGAAGTATTGATAGACTGTTTGTTGTAGATGCTGGGTGTAGCTGTCGATGTCGTCAATATTGTTGAGGAAATTTAGTTTATGGTGAAAATAGGCGTTGGCTTCCGTCCACTGCTGTTGAGTTTTAGGTAACTTAACGCCTGGGAGAGGATGTGGTGTTGTCGCTGGGGCAGATTTGTGTTGAAATGATCGTGGTTGGTTGATTGTCTTTTTGGTATTTTCAACCGAGCTAATAGCCCGTCGAGAATTTGAACATCTGTGATGCATTATAAGACCCTTTCTGCCTCGAAAATATCTACCGCAACAGCAAGACAACATACTTTCAAACTTATTAAACAAATTATTGTTATAATTATCATTATTTAAAATTGAAACATTATTTGAGTTGGTAACCAATTTATTGTTAATAGAGGTATTTTGAATTAAAACATTAATTGAGCCAGAATCAGAGTTATTTTTTGTTGAGATATTGTTAACCGAACTTGTATTAGAATTGTTGTTGTTTAATTCACTAGTTGCAGGTATCGTTCTATGTGCACAGCGCCAGGAGTGTTTATTTACATAACGAAATTCTTTACAGCAATATGGGCATTTCGCCATATTTAAAATAAATATTTGTAGAAAATATAAAAATATACTTTAAAATTAAAATATTAAATGAAATAATGAATAAAATATACTGCCAGAATGCTCGTAATTTTTTCTACTATTACATGTCAATTTTAAATATATTAATAACAATAAAACCATATTATTACAAATAAACAGTGAGCCATGTAAACACGACTCTCTTGTTCAGGTTGTATAATAATAATAATAACAATAATAATAATCATAATAATAATAACCATAATAATAATTATTAGTATTATTATCATGATAAAAATATGAACATTGTCGTTACGAAAACATCTCCATCATTGCTATCGTTCTTTTTGTAATTTGCAAAGAGGAAACTTTATCACAAACAGTGATTCTAAAATGGAATTGTTATGAAAAAAAAAAAACAAAAAAAACAGAACAAAAATAATGAAGAAAACTCGCAAGATAAATGTTGAAGTCTGTACCAGTCGGCGAGTTAGCTCAGTCGGTAGGAGTGTCATGTCACGCGTTGCCATTACGCGATGACCTGGTTCGAATACTGTCAGTCCGAAACTCAAAGACATGCGCGTGCGTATGAAGCGTGTACTTAATGTGTGATGTAGATAGTACAGACTTTGTGGCATGAAGGTTTAAATATATGAAAGATTTGTAAGAAGTTCTGTCAGAGTTGCATCAGAAAAAAGAATAAAAACAATTTAAAATTTGGTAAATTTATTGCAAACGATCGATAGGAATGCATATAAAAATACTACCATAGCACAAAGTACTAACTGAAGCGTCCAGAGCTTGCCACAGTTGTTGTTGCAGTAGCTGCTGCTGTTGTTGTTGCTGCTGCTGCTGCAGTAGCTGTTGTTGTAGCAGCTGTTGTTGTTGATTTTGTGGTTGTTGTTGTTGATTGTTAATCGATGGTTTGGTGAACTGACTGAGGAATAGAGTCGTGCTTTCGTCGGTGTTGACTGCATCAATTTGTTGTCGATGACAACAACGTTACTCATTGCTAACTACACCAATAACTCCAAATAAGAGTTACAGCCAACAAATGGTTATTACATTACAATCGAGTTACTATTACAAAAGTATAACAAAAATAAGCAACAATCACGAAGCCATACATGAACAGGGACAAAGATATTTTATAAAAACATGACAAACACACACACACACACACACACACACACAAAAACTGATACAAACAAAACAAACAAACAAAACAAAAAACAATACAAATAATTACTTTAAAAAAATGGGCAATAACCACAAAAACATCATTATTATTGAAAGCTGTTTTATTTTTAGAAATTAACGTTAGACAATAAGCAGATGTTTCATGTATGTGCGCATAAAAAATTCACACACGCACACAAACACACGCATGTACATTCACACGCACAGACATAAATACGAGTATACAATCATACACATACAAACGCGCATAGACGCACAAACATGTGCACATACACTCACACACACACTTAAATTCAAATATGCTGAAATCATTAACGCAAACACACGCACATACAAACAAACATTCATGCATATACACACACGCGCACACACACGTACAAGCATACAGAGACACATACATAAGCAGACGTACAAACAAACCATGTTCTGTACTATTTAGTGCAGTCCTCGATCCGTGCTGTGAAACCGTGCACGACACATTACTGTGGATAGCTGAATCAGAACTCACCCTATAGGCGGGAAAATAATAATAATAATAATAACAATAAAAACAATAATAATTTCATAATGTTGATTAATCAGCAAAGACAGCAGCATTTCCACCATTATCATCATCATCATCATCATCACCACCTTCTCCAGCTGGGATCAGATGGAGGCGAGAGGTACACCGATCCGTAGGGTGAACAGTCCCTCTTAACAAATAATAAATAATATACATGTACATTAATCAGTATATTGTTATTATATATATATATATATATATATATATATATATATATATATATATATATATATATATATATGCAATTATTGATGAAGATCACAGCATGTTCGGCGTAAGCTAACTTCCAATTTAACTTTTCGATTTTTCTAACGATTGATCGTAAAACATTTTCAAGTTTCTTTAGTTCAAAACCAAAGTTTTTTTTTATGCATGATAGAACAGAAATGCTTTTTTCGGTATTCTTATACCATCTTCGGTGTTTAAATTGATGTGTTGTATTTGTGCCCAGATGCTCAAATATATATATATACTGTGCCTCTATTCTACTTTGTAGATTCCTTGTTTGTTTAAAGTGAATACTTGGTTTTACAATCTTCAACATCGTTAAATACAACACTTTGGCGTTTTTTCATTGTCGATGATTCTTCTGTTTCTAAATATGTTGCTAGGAAGAATTCCAATTGCCCGTTGTTGAATATTTATAATTGGATGTCTTTGTTCTATGAATATTGATTCGGCTAGTCGTAAATTATAATGGTTGTTATTGTAATGTAAGATTTCAACATTGTGGTTCAAGATTTATCTAGTAATTTTAGTATTGTGTTTCTCTTTCATGTGATTCTTTATAGCACCAGTTTGTGCGTGCATCATGAGTCTTCTCGATAACTTGGTCGTTGTCATACCAATATATTCAGAATTATGGTGCCCACACTCACCAATATTACATTTGAACAAATATATTATTAGATGGCTATGATCCATTATCGATTTTGGATTACCAGTGCAGTTGTTTTTCATCACAAGAAACGACGAAATGACGTTCTTTAATTGGAGTAGTATATTCGTAGCTTTATACTTTCGTTTTCGTTTGTTGCTTAAACGTTATTTTATATGATTCTTTTCATGATTATTTCATTCTGTTCGAAAGCTGTTGAAATGTGGTTCTATATATAGATACGTGTATGCGGATGTGTGTGTGTATAAATATTATAAATGTAAACAAACATTATATATGTACACAATACACATGCGTACACGTACATAAACACATGTAGGATGTGTATAATGTACTAATCATGAAAATTTGTATGTACCTAATGTGCTTGCTATGTGCAGTTATTTGTGGCAGGAAAGCTAATTCGGAAATAATTACAAAAAAAAAGAAGGTAAGTTTAGACCAGAGAATGTGTATTTTTAATATAAACAGTTCCCTACATTCGTTTGGGGTAAATAATAAAGAGAAGAATTGTGTTGCATCAATCAACAGTTAACATTTATAACTTAAATGTTCGGCACTAACTTCTGAGGTGAAAAATTTCTTGTGAAAAAGGATGACTTTTGAAAATTTATAAAAATTTCGAAACATGGTAAACAGGTTAAGATGGCCTTAAAAACGCTAGAGACAGAACTTTTAGAATCCTCCTTCGTAACAAAATCTCCAGGATGTTGATGAATTTGTGTGACATGTTTCACGTTTCATAATTTTGTTAGTTTTATGACGTTTGTAAAAAAAAAACCAGTTTTAATTTATTTTTCCTATATACAATAATACGATCATTAGCTTTTAAGAAAGAAATATATATTTTTTAAACAGCTTTTTATCTCTATAACCATTCAATTTAACACGTTCAAGACAAGTGTTTCGCTATTTTAAGCTTTTGAAGATGAAAAAATATTTCACTGCTCAATGCTTGAAATAAATAGAATTAATCATAAATTTTAACGATAAATTTAAAAAATAATTTCTTTCGTGTAACTCAGTCTAATTCAGAGTTCCATGGCACGCAAAGTACAAAAAATTGAACATTAAATAATAATTCATCAGCTCACAAAAACAATTTTCAAGGGAAATTTTTGAAAAGATTTTATTTTATTTATTGCGCCATCATCGAATTCCATAACAGAGTTATGAAAATGAAAATATTTATAACTGCGATCTTTTGAAAGCAAACTTTCAAAATTATCTAAAATACAAATTTCTACCTATGTACTAATAAATTAATAATATTAGTTTAATAACTTTTCAATCGCAACATAAATTACAAACGTTCGTGTAATGGGCTGAATAAAAGAGGTGTCTTTTTAGTGAGGGAGTTGTGCTGAATTAGCAGCATTAATCATTTCTACTGCGTTAAACTTTACAAATCAGGATGATTTTTTTCTTAGCACAAATGGTACAGTAGTCTGAACAAACATTTTATGTTATCTACAAAGATATCTCTGGATGCATGGCTAGTTCAAACTTGTAAAAATTCATCTGAACAACTCAAAGTCTGCACGCACAAATTGCAGAAACATGTATATAAATCAGTGCACATAATCATGCATACATGCATCATACATGCATAACACACAGATACGCACAAACCATCAAACGGTAGTCGAAATTTTCGGTCCCAGATTTCATAATATAGGAATTTTCGGTCCCAGATTAAAAATTTAAACGTAAACGTCAGTTTATTTATACAGCGCTATTTTCGTGACGTTCAACAGCGCTCAAACGTCGTGCCGCCGAGGCACGCGTTATTTACCGCGTCACATACTCGAACAACATGATAAACTTTGGAATGATAACCCGGAGTCTACGCTCGTAACCATTACACCACACCCGAGGCTCAAATCAAATTGATCGTGCTTGCATTACCGTTAGTGAAATAGCAATTGTATTGCTTTGAACAAATGATTATTTGAACTTTACTATGCTATATGAGTAATGTTTGCATTGTGTTCAAGGATTTTCAAGTGATAATAGTAGTTAGTAAGATATCCCTGCATTAAGTTAGGATTAGAAATATATTACTGAAGGTTATATCAAGCAATTGATTAACTACGCCCACTTTTTTAAATATGCTAATAGATTTTAAAATTGCATTGTTGGCATGGATACCCCCTTTCCCATTTTTTTTGTGTACTAAAAACATTGGAGACCGAAAAATCCGGGACCGAAAATTCAGGGACCGAAAATTCATAGATTCCATCAAACACACATACATGTCTGGTCAGTGAGAAGTGCTTCCTGGGTTGACTACTACTTCTCTCAGCCTGTCCTCTCTGAATGATCTTCTCGACGCATCTGCTGCCTCCACTAGACGAAGCTCGACCCATCGCTTCGTGTTTCATGTTCTCCAAACTGGATAGTGCCTTCTGTGGTGACACATGTTTGTTGTGTGCTTATGTAGCTTATGTGTATTTCTGCGTTTTGTGTTTTGTGCTATGAATGTGCACAAATATATAATAGGTTTGTATAATCTGTTTTCGGATTTAATCTGTATTCAGATTATTGAATCTGAATACAGATGTTTTGAATTCATAACTTTTAGATGCCCTCTTTGTTTGCAATGTATGTTATAAGCTTTCATAAAAACCTGTTACAAATAATCAACGAATAAAATAGTTGATCAATAAGATACAAATATTCTACTGATATAAAAAATCCTTATTCATTAAAATATGAAAGTTATCTGTAAGAAAAATTTTCAACATGCCACAGCAATCCTTATTAAGTTGTGAACAGTTGTCGATGGAATTGAAGATAATTGTAAAAAATTGTCTCAACCATTCACACTTACACAGTCTAGTTAATGTCAACACACCTGCAGGTCAATAGATTTATGGGAAACCATTTGATTGACATTTGGTAGACTCCTCCCTCTAAGAACCACCGTAGAATGTCTGGATGCAATTGGCAAATGACAAACTCTCTGTTGTTGTTGTTGTAACAAAAGTTGTTGTTGCGGTGAAACTTTGGGAGGTATGTATGGTGGAGTTACTGGGGTTGTCAGAGTTTGGTTTGAGAGGCTTTTCTTTGCCAGAACTCCCTAATTTTGGTTGTAAAATTTATAAGCTGTCAATAATTATTTTGAATAAAATTTATTCAAATAATTATTTTGAATAAAATTTATTCAAAATAATTATTGACAGTTAATCATGCTTATGGATGATCATCATGTTATATCACATTCAACTGGACAAATTTTATTTAAACAGTTTTACTGAATTATTTGAAATGGTTCGTGTTCAGGTAGTTATTGAAATCATTTAAAAAGATTTTATGAGATTTTTAAGAAAGACCCACATGCTTAGTAGTGGAAGTAATAAAAAACATTGTATAATTAATGCCAAAAATAAAATTGAATAAAAATTTACATTTCTCAAGGTAATCATTCTGTGATGTCTATTACAAAAAATCACCCTAACAACATCCCTATTGAGGTTAGTGTTAGTAAGGAGAGTTAATTGAGAAAGTGTAATAACAATCTCAGTTTTAAAAAAATGATTTTGATCACCCACCCACAATGTTACTATATTATTAGTATATCTATAATAATAAATATAATTATAATATAGCCGAAAGCTCAGTGCTCATGTGGAGAAATGATGTTGACAACTTTATTTTTATTTAAATATAAAATGAATAAAACACCCAACCCTGGTTGTAGCGGAAACTTCTTTGAGGATGGCCTCGAAGGCGGCAGTTCCTTCCGCCTGCTTCTGAGCGTGCATGGCTATCTTCTCGCTAAACTTTCGCGGGTTCGCCATTTTAAATAATTAGTAATTTAATTCTTACTTAAATTTAATTGGTTGGTAAATTATTATAATATATTTTCCTTTTAAATTTAAAACGGAGTTTAGTTTGAAACTTTTGTACATACGAGTATACGCAAAATGTAGTACAAGCATCATAACTCTTCTTTTTAATTTATAATCTTATTCAACTTCGACTCAATAATTAATTATGAAACTCAAGCTATGTAGCGAAATAAAAAGTTATTAAATGCACGCTCGGACGGTCTCTCCATTTTAAATATTCCCTTATTCCTTTTTAGATTAAAAAATCCGAATTAATTTGTATATATATTTTAATACGATCCGTTGTTTCAACGTAAACATTGCTTGCAACATCCATCCATGCATACAAAACACTCGTACACATCCGCGTGCATCCTCCTCGCATACGATTGGTCGCTTGTGCTACCATTCATACATTGCATTCGACTATACTCTACGTACGGTACATGTACAGTACACGTATGCATACATTACATAAGTGCATGCTATTTATATGCGTACACGGATTCCGTGCGAGCATGTATAGATTTTGTGCAATTCATTTGTTTTGCTGATTGCAACATGTAGAGAAATGCATTTGCGATTATAAATTTAGGTAGGCATATACTTGTTCATTGTTTGCACTGACAGGGAATATTATGTCGCTATTTCAATTAGTTAGGAGTAGAACCAAGAACTGTTTCAAAACCCATCAATACGTGCGTGCACATCCACGCTCACGTGTGCATAATGCATCGCATACTTATAAGCAGTACAATATTTCATTATTCGTTAGTTCTATTTGTCTCAGGAAAAGTAAAGATGCCATTTGTATTTGCAAAAATTGTTAAAAAAGCCTTTTATAAAGCTCTTCTACTCATCACATATGTTTGAATTTATTACATATCAGGCACCATATTGAATGCATATATCTATTATATATCACTGCACACGCAAAACGCCTCATTTAGAAAAAAGTTTTTTTAGGCACGGCATACAAAAACAAAAACTGCAAAAAAGATTTTGCGAAAAAAAAATTAGCCTATTTATGTAGCTCTTTATAAGGAGAAATAATAAAAGAATCGCTATTTATAATTCTTATGTTTGTTACGCATACAGATTATTTCAGTATATTTTTAATACAATCTTACCTCCACATTATGCATATATATATATATATATATATATATATATACACACACACACACACACACACATATGCACAACACACAAGCGTGTGTGTTGCAACAGGCATTTCTAACACAAAGTATGCTCATTTTTAGTAAACTCTACACAATAATATATTTTAAGGTTAATATTTCTTGGTGTATGTACGCATCACAAAACACGCAATACTATATATATGTATGCTGTCAAAAAACTGGGCCATTTTTTTTCAAGGGTGTGTTTTATTTCTATTTATAGACCGAAACTTGTGCGCCCGTATAAATGGAAATGTATTTTCGTGATATATATTCTCATCCCAAGCTTAGGGAGTATGAACTTTTCCAAAGATTGTGCCTTCAGTTTGTTTTTATTCTTGTTTTCTGCATAGATACAGAAACTACTTTTTCTAAATCTATGTATCTACATCTACTGTTTTCTCTTAGAAATGCAGTTTAATAATATTAAAATTTTATTAATATATTGTTGATATATCACATCAGCCACTGTATGACCAGATAAAATTACGAACAAAAAGTAAAACTAAATGAAAAAGGATTAAAATGTTAGATAGGATAACTGAATCAGAGCAGCTAGAATTACAAAAATTGAATATTTGATAAATTAGCAACATGATACACACAGTCAAGTATAAATACTGTTAAATACTATTTTGTCATCCTAAATTGCCTATTTGACACTGGAATAAAATCACAATGATCACAAAGTTTAGACAAGAAAATGATATCATGAGCAAGAGCATACAATATTTAGTTATATAAAAATAACAAAATATTACAAAACACCATGCATATATATTATATATATATATATAAACAATTTGTTTTCAGATAAGTTTAGTTATGAATTTGGAGCAACAAATCTGTTGACAACTGTAATTAAATTTTCTATATCTTCAATGGACATTCTCTCTTCGCACTCCTCAACTATAAGTTGCACCTCAACAGCACTTTGAGGTAGTAGGTTAACAATCTGTGAAATTTATTTATTTATAAGACAAATTAGTATTAGTCTCTAAACTAAACAATAGAACAGCTTGCATTTGTATACTACTAACTGAATACCTATACTGGCCCTCAAACTATTATAATAAAAAAACACTTTGAAAATATTTTTCACGAAATAATAAAATTGAATTAGAAAAATTATTATTATTATAAAATTATAATATATTAATAATTAATTAATTATAATAAAATTAAATTTATATTAATGTATATATGTATACTATACTGACTCTCTATACTATACTACTATTTAGTATTTGTACCTGTAATTTTTCTGCATTTGTAAGCTTGAATTGATTAAGATTTTTCTTTAGTTCAGCGATAGATTCCGCAGTTTGATCTTTGCAGGCGGTGTTTTCTAAATAAGAAACCGTTTCTTTGGCGATGATTGATAAGTTTTTAGCTTCACCTCCTGGCTTTTGGAAACCATTTTTGCCATTTTGGATATCCTTCATAAGTTGAAAGACCTCAAAGTTGCATAAAAGTGCCGATTGACTGTTGATGACATTCATCCTGCAAATTATCCGTCACAAATTTCCTCTAATCTATACTAATACGGTAATACCTAACTTTAGTAATTTTAAATGTCTTACCCAACCGAAACGTAAACTTGAGAAATTGGTTACACGTGCGCGAGAATGATTATATTTAAAAGTAAGTTTAAGTTAGCATATAAAAACAAACGAACAGTAATTTTTGTAAAAAATATATTTGGAAAATACTTTTGATAAAATTTTAAAAATATTTATATTTTAATATTTATTTTTATTATATTTATTTTTATATTTGTTTTCAAGTTTAATAAAATAATTGTATTAGTCATTTATCTTGGGTTTGGTAATATTTACTTTTAAACTAATAAATAAATTGCAATTTGCTTGCCTTAATGTCGGATTTTGGTGGTGGTTTAATGAAGTTATCTGTTTAATTGTTGACTGATAAGTCAAACGTCTCATTTTTTAAATAAATAATATAGATTCAATTTGACACTTTGGACAGGCGACTCGCTAATTTTTACATTTATTGATTATTAATTAATTTTTATTTTTTATTGAGTGAAAAGAAAGATTCATTGATTATTAATTTTATTTATTATAATTATAGACGATTAGGATTAGAGATTAGAGAAAAAAATTCATTCATCTCACTCCCAACTGCAGCTAGCAACTTTCACTCAATCAAAAATCAAACTAAACCAAACTAAACTTTTACTAATCAACCATCTAAGTCAAAACATTTATTTTCATTTTTTTAATTTATTGTTGTACAGTGTACTGTATAGTGAAGACTAGACAAGTGTTATTCAGTTAACTGTTAAGATTTAACTAGAAACTAATTTCCAAATTTCTTCGTAATTCTGGATTGATTCAATCTCTGTTTTTGGTTTTGCAAAGAATAATAATGAAAGACGATCAGACACGGGTGAAGAATTTAATAATAGAAACGATATCTGTTTTGTGCCGGAATGGCTTGAAATGTAAAAGGTCAATGTCCATTCAGGGTTTGATTGGCATCACACTTGACGAAGATGATGTTTTCATCATCCACGTTGACGATACACTGATTATTAATGACCCAATCACAAATACGACTCAAAACAATCGACAACCTGACAACATTGAAATACCTCCATGTTTAAATAAAAATGAGAACAGTAATAAAAGGAACAAAATTTGTTCTACTGATTCAATTGATGATGAAAATGATCAAGTCATGGAAACAACTTGTATGAGCGACATTGAACAAACCATTAAGACAAAATATACCGCAATTTATTATGATGATAATGATGATGATGCTAACAATGGTGCAAATAGAGTTGGTGCCATCAATTTATCCAATTTAAAGTGTGAAAAAAGTAAATCAAATCAGCCAACAGAGTCAGAAAGCCAAAAGCAGATAGAAGTAAGAAATACAAATAAGAGCATATTAGAGAAACGTCGACTAAATTTTTGCATGAGCAAAAACAAGTCAGATGTCATATTTATTAAAAGTGAAACCTACGACGACAACAGTGATGTTGTTGATGTGTCGACCGATAGCCACAAGAACATTATAATTAATAACGATGATTTCAACAGTGACAATAACAACAACAACAATGACACTAACAATTACAACAACAATAATGATATTAACAATTATAATATTAACGATGATAACAATTTCAACGATGCTAATCATTACAACAGTAATTATGATAACGTTGTCGGTTTCAAATTTACGGACCATGGTCACTCACTGACCAGTCATCATTTTGATGATGAGGAGGATGATGATGGTGGTGATAATGATCTTATTATCAATAATAATAATAATCGTCTTAAAAATACTTTAAAAAACCACGATGCTGCTGCTGACAATTGCAACATCAACAATAGAGCCAAATATTTATCCGACCATGAATATGAAGATTTTGAAAGCAAGGTACTTCTCCTATTTTTTTAGTTTTGTTTTAACATAACAAAATTATTTTTTAAAAAAGTTCTAGGATTTAATTATACCCACTATTTCTTACAAATTAAGTTTTTAACATGATTTAATTTTTTCGTCAGTCGTCAAGAAATTTTGAAAACCTCATAAGTCAGTCAATGTCGAATGGTCTGCTACCGTTGTCTGCACCCTCGACACAACTCCTCTCATCACTGCACAGAAGGTATTCAAATGTTTTTCACAGATTTCTTAATAAATATATCTAACTATCTTTTTCCTCAGTTTTATTCATCTACATATATTGTATATAAATATTGTCACTGATATATTAATACATACCTGCCATACGAAAAAAATGTTGGATATCTTAATAAAATTTGGTACATATTTTATTTTTACACAATTGTTAATGCAAATTTAAAGGCAAACTTCAGTAACGTTTTTAAATTCAATTTAAAATTTTCAATTCAAATTTCTAGTACAAACATGAATAAAATGATCCGGTAATAATGCAATGCAATTTTCAGGTACAGCAACAACAACAGCCTCAACAACAGTAGCAACGTCAGCCATAGGTACACATCAGTGCACCAGTATAAAACTCCACAGACCTCATCATCAGCAACAACAACAACCAACAACAGCCTGACATCAAAATTATGCTCCAAACTTTCCTCTCGATTCGTCTGCGAGTTTCAGAACTGTGGCATCACCTTCAGCAACAAGCAGAACCTACTGCGACACCAGACAAACAAACACGGTAGACCTAAGCTGGCCAGACGATCCAATCGATCGATCAATGATCTTCTTTTTAATTTCAGGACACAGATGACTTGACTGTCGTCATCAGTCTGATTATTATTATTATTATTATTAATGTTATTATTTGTAATAAAATTGTTGTATATTGCTAGTAGTGAGTGAGATTATAAATGGCTTCTAAGTTATAATCTGACAGGTCAGTGTGATTTTTTATGAAATATTTTTTAGTTATCTGTGTAAGTCATGTATGTGAATGTATATATATATATGTATCATATTTATATATTTATATACATGTATATATCATATAACACACATATATACATGTCCAATACCCGTTTCGATAGTTGCTGCCAACCATTTTATGTGAGTAGTGCAGTGATTCACTGGTTTGTATGGATCGTTGTCCCAACCGAAGGATCAACATTTAGCAAAGCAAGACCGCCTGTTTGAAGGATGTAATGGGCAACAGTTATATGAGGAAAGGAGGAAAACTGGAAAGAGAAACAAAAAGTAACTGACTTGCTTTGTAGGAATAATAAGGGCGTCGTAATGGTTAAAGGCGTCTGGTCTTGCTGTTGCAGCGACCGGTATCAAATGCACGGAGATCCCCACCTATCATGTTCAGTGTTTCATACGTGGTTCTCGCGTGTATTCATATACGTTGTGTGTGTTGGTCGTGGAAACCTCTGAAGCACAAGAGAGATTGATCTTTAAACTTTGATCTTTTTTTCAAGAGTAAGTGGAAATAAACCACAGCAAACTGAAGTAAAACCTGAAAAAAAGCAAACACTTAATATATTTTGTGTTCTTTTGTCACATACGGTACAGCGTTTTTTTTAATTAACTTTCAATTTTTTAACGTTCGTTTGTTACATTTTTTAGAAATTGTGTTGCATTTTTTTTATGTTTACTGTATCAAAATTCAATTGATTGCCTCTGTTAATGAATCTTTACTGTTTCTCTACATGTAAGTTTCGTTTCGTATGTATGTATATATATATATATATATATATATATATATATATATATATATATATTATAATTATATATATATTTATTTTATTTATGTATATGTATTTATATAAAAGTATATATTCACATTTTTATTGGGCGAAGGAGTATGATGATGTATTTTATGGTTCACATTTTGCGTTTGATGTATTTTAATAGTTATCCTGTTTTAATTGTTTAATTAAACTTTAATTAATTAATATTAATGTTTTATATATATATATATACGTACATATGTATCTGTTGGCGTTTATATGTATTTAAGTTTGTATGTATACGTTGGTTTACGTGTATGAATGTGTGATTTGCGTTGATGTGCTCATTTGCTTGCCTGTCTCTGTCTGTGTGTTTATGTGTGCCTGTCTGTCTGTGTGTGTGTGTTGTTGCATGCGTGTAGCATTAAGTCAAATGCTTGTTAAATTTTTTATTCATGTTGACTGAGTGTCAATACATTCTAAAACAAATTTACAAATTTTCTTACCTAAAAACAAATTTAAAAAAATCGAAAGTTTCATTCACTGTCAGGTTAGATTTTAAAATGTTCTCAACAGAAATTTCATTTGAATCTTGAAATTAGTTTAAAGCGGGAAGAACGATCCAACATCTTTCCTATACGTGTATGCATATGAAATGGACGTCTTTGATGGAGTTTGTCGTGGAATGTTTATTTGTGTATAATGCTGGATGTTGGTGTGTGAGTTTGGTTTGATGGCCAAGTACATCACAAACAATATGTGAGAAGTAGCAAAAATAGTAGTCAGTCACCTATTTACAATTCAATTACTCCCAGAGCCCTGGCTTACCTACAATGTTCAATTTATCTCACCTTCTTACAAATTTTATTTAGGAATTTCAATTGTTTTGGATTAACATGTTTTAACGTTTTTATTTTGCATTTTATGTAAAATTTTGTTTCTGTATTTCTGTTTGGTTGAAACTTTTAAATTAATGTTCAGACATGGCTTACCTATGATTGACTAACTCATCTCAGCCCCTAACTTAACTATCAGTTTAACTAAGTCCGGTTGGAAAAAGAAAAATGAATGAAGAGAAACGTGACATCAACGACGACACCGAAAGAATGGAAGCCCCACAAGAAGAGATGATTTCAAAGAATGGAATAGACGGGAAAAAAAAGGCAAGCCGAGTCAAGACAGGGTTTCTGGAAAAAAAGATAATGCTATCGGCCTCGCGTTCTCCGGACTATGGGGAGCATTTGATGGATAGGTGGATAGTACTGTTTCGCAGTGCGTGCAGTGACCAGGTTGGGTTAGAATGTGACACCAAAGATCCCCGCCTTTCACATGTTTCGAACGTATGTGAAACGTTGTTTAGCGCGTGTTCATATAGGTACGATGCTTGTGTATGTTGTTGATGCCTCTGAACCTCGGAAGGGTGAAATAGACCTTTTTTACGTTAAAACGTTTTCCTATGAGCATTGGACTCAAACTTTTGGTTTTGAGATAATTTCAATCTAATTTCTTTTAAAAATATCAATAATAACCAGCGCGAGGCCGAGGTGGAAAAAAGATACTGATTGTTAGAATAGCTTGATAAGAAAATGCATTACCGTTTTGATCTCCCAAAGAGAATGTGTTCCTGTTTTAACTTTCCGTTAATCTCCACAAGATATTTTAATGCTCAATTAAGAAATTTTTTCGAACAGCTGACTACGATTTTTAGAAGAAAGAATTAATTTGAGTTTTCCATAATATTATGCATATTCATAAACCACGAACCAATAATATTTAAAAGTGGGCGTGGTTAATTTTGATTGACAGCGCGAATACACTTTATAAACGATGTGAACCACCAGTGAACGAAAACAAACGCCATTTTGTGCATCGATTCGTTGGGCGTTCGTTCGGATTTTTCTCTTTATCATCGTTTTATTGGTTAAATTTAAAATTTTTAATGCCGAAATTTTCAATTATTTAAAAGTGACTGTTTAGCGTTATTTTTTTTCCGAAATTTCTTAATAAAGTATTTATATTAATATTAGTTTTCGTTCGGTAGGTGGCAATAAATATATAATTTTACGCCTGCCATATTAATTTTCTGCTCCGCTTTGTTGGTGGTGGTTGTGAAAAGTTTGAAAAACTTTTGAAAATGAGTTTTCAAAAGCAAACAAAGTTGAATTTTAGAGGTAAACGCAAACGGAGTGACAGTTGTAAAAGTTCATCTCTCGAAAACTGTCACGTGAACAAAATGATGAAGACAAGTTACAAATCGACCCAGAAGTACAAGAAGTACATTGGAAATCACAGCAAGGGGCATCCAAACGGTTTTTCATGTAATAATAATAGGGCAGGCAGAAGTGTTCAAAATAACAACAATCATAAAATTATAGTTCCTAATTACTTCGGTGGGAATGCGAGGGATCCTCTCAACTTGAATGGACTGATTGCTTGTGGTGGGTTGAGCCATTCGGTGACCCCTATGTCGTCACCAATGCCTTTATTGACGCCACACAGACAAGATGTTCTGGTGCCAGTTTTTCGAGCTGCTAACATTTATGATCCTTTGAACCTTCTCGGAGAGGACACTGATGATGTAAATGATCAAAAAGCCAGACTTCACCAGAGAGCTAGAAAAAAACGTTACTTGCTTAAAATTAAACATAAAAAGCAAAATAAGGCTGTTAATGTAAATTCTAACAACCTTAGTGGAATGAGTGATAAAAATATAAATGACAACATGCAATGTAGGGATGTGACTGTTTGCAACATTAAGGAGACATGCACAAATGAGATGAATCATTCTGATACCAATGCTACATTGGGTTCAACAAATGAAACTGCTGCAAATAATTCTGACATCACAATCAAAAGAGACTCATCACGTGAAACATCTGATTCACAGAATTTCATAAAGCCAGTTACAAATTCAATAGAAACATCTACATCTGCCTTGGCTTCTAAGAACAAATCATCCAACAAAAAACCTGAAGATATACCAACTCGAGCCAGTAAACCAAAAAGGCGAAAATCAATTAATCTCTCAACATCTAAAAATGTCATCAAGTACAATGCTAAAAGTGAGCGATATTGTCACGGAAATTTCAATTTGTTTAGTAGTTACAAGAACAGTCACTACCACGACAAACGGTTGGACTCGCTACCCAGAGATAAATTTCTCGACAAGGAGGTTCTTGAAATTGGTTGCAACTCTGGCTTCGTGTCTATTAAGCTATCAAAAGATTTCATGGCTAAAAAAGTGCTTGGCGTTGATATAAATGAAAAATTAGTCAATGCATCTAGAAGTAATTTAAATTATTTTTCAAACCTGAGCAGCAGGAAAAGTACCAGCAGTCAGCCATCATTGTATCCGGAACATTTCAGTAAATCATTTGGTTCTATGTGCCATCCACTGCTTAATTTAGATCTAACATGCCATGAATGGACCAACCATGTTAAAGATGAAGTTGATGATGATTGCCTCAAATTTCCTCACAATATTCATTTCAAATGTGTAAGTTTAAAAGATTTCAACTCCTTCTTAATTTCTTCTTTGTAATTTCATCATGTATTATGTTTCTGCATTTAGTGTATGTTTTTTATATTTATGTATAAAGGTTTTAACATTGACTGTTAAAACATTTCTGTTGAGATGACATTTTGTAACTGCATAGAAAATCTTCATGGCTGTAGTTAATTAAAATAAATAACTAAAAACGTTTATTTCAGGCTGATTATGTTCCAACAAGCCAACTTGAAATTAAGAATGAAACCCCTCAATACGATGTGATCGTGGCTCTGGGGGTGACCAAGTACATCCACCTGAACTATGGAGACGAAGGACTGAAGAGGACATTCCAGAAGATTTACAGACAGTTGAGGCCTGGAGGCAGATTTATCATGCAGGCACAGAGATGGAGTACTTACAAGAAGAAAAAAAGAATAAATGTTTGTTTGTTTGTTTGTTTGCTTGCTTGTTTGTGTGTGGTAAGCACTTGTTTATTTGTTTATGTTCTTGTTTGTTTATTTATATGTTTATGTTCTTGTCAGTTTGTTTGTACATGAGCAAACTTATTAAACTGGTAATATAAATTCGATATATATTGATTTCATATTTTGTAATTTTTAGTTGATAATATTTAAAATTGGTATGCGTGTGGCTATGCTGCTATTGATGTTAGCAGATGTTTGGCGTTTTGCAAACTAATTAATACCCACTACATTATCATAAAATTATTATCATCATCGATGCTATCCTACGTTATCATCAAAAGAGGTTATTGTCATTAAAGCCTTTCACTCTATCATGTGCTGGTGGCTTAAAATATAAATTGAAGTTTTATTTTTATATTTCTGTCATTTTATTATTTCTCTCTCTCGCTCTCCCTCTCTTTTCTGGTGATGCCGATGAGTTTTCTACTCATATATCATAATCACTAGGAGGTTGATGATGATGACGTGTATGTTTGTGGTGATGATGAGTGTGTTTGTGATGATGATGATGAGTCTGTTTCATGTTTGTCTCTTTATTCCATTTTTCTCAATTGTGAAAACATTATTTTGAAATATTTATTATTTTGAAATTTAATTTTGAACTCATTAAAAGCTTCGATATAAAAAGTAACACCTGACCATATTTTCCATAACAGGAAGAAACTTTAGCAAGGTACAAGGGTATAAAGTTGCTCCCAAACACCTTCAAGCAGTACCTGATCAGTCCAGAGGTGGGCTTCAGTCAGTACATCAACTGGCCAGTGCATGCTGCTTCAACTCCTCATCACGTTAATAAACTACAAAAAGGTTTTGCTTTTATCACATGGTTTTTTTTAAATTTTATTTTTAATTTAGTTTAATAGCACTAGCTATTTTTCAATTTTAAAAGTTGTGTATAGTTCAATTTTAATTTAATTCTTGTTTTTTTTGTTATTATGTTTGCTTGCTCACTTCACAGACTATCCTCCTAATCTCTGTGTTATCATTCCTTACAGGGTTTAGACAGCCTCTGGTTGAATTCATCAAACCTCTGCATGAGACAGTGCACCAACCTGCTACAAACATCAATGAAACCAATGATAACGACGGCCCTGGCGACATGCTGGTGGACAACGCAGGTAACTACCTAACAGGCCTTCCATCATTTTGTGACGACAACCTCAGTCAAAACGCAGCCATGACGACGACACTCGCAGGCAACTTATCAACCGATTTACTCTCAACATGCTGCTGCTGTAGTTCATCTCGTGCCAGTGCGACCTACTGTTCAACGTGTCAGAACACTCCGAGCCATCTGCCAGCCTACTCTTCGCATCCTTCCACACCCCGGATGGATGGCTGTGATGGTAATGACGATCCCAGGGCAGATCATGAGGATGCTACTAATTCCCATACTACTCCTCCTACTTCTGATGCTAATACTGCTGCCCCGTGTTTTTCTATGTGTATATATTGTACAGGTGCATTTCCTGCTAATACTTCTACTACTATTCATATTTCTACATCTGCTGGAGAAACCTCTACCTTAAGAACGAAGAGTAATGATGACAGTGGGGATAATCTTACAGCCAAGAAGGAAAGGGATGATGGTGATGGTGATGTTGATAACAGTATTTCTACAAGACATTGCATTCATAATAGTTGGGATGATAAAGAGACTGATAAGGTTGATGATGATGATGATGATAAAGGAATTGTTTTTACTGTAAAAAATTCAATTGTTATGAATGATGATGATGATGATAACGACGGTTAATATGTTGACGATGATGATGATAGTTACTTATACAATTCTTATAGCAACATAAATAATGAAATAATAGTTGTATAATTGTTTTAATTATTATTATTATAAAATAATTGCTTTTAAAAGTGAATTTAATGTTTTATTGAAAAATAACGTGTCAATTTTTTTTTTTTGTTCTTCCCATCTCTGATCATTTGAATGTTGACAGCTGATGAATTTCAGCTTTTATTGGGCATTTCTGCCTCAACGAGTGCTGCATTCTTTGTGTTATATCTCATTTGTCATCAGCTTGTTGGTCGCCTCTCTCTGCCAACTTTATTCAGCAAGGTTTCAAAAATTTAATTTATCATTCGAAAGCAACATTATCTCAATTAATAACAGTTTATATTAATAATTATCATTGTGACAGTAATTGAAGTATTAATTGAAATATTTAATTGGGTTATTAATTGATTAATTAGATTAGATTAGTGATAGGTCCTGTCACTAATTGTTTGTTTATAGTTATTGTTCTTTCACTGTGGTCACTTTACTGCATATTTGTTGGTCATATCTCATTATTTGAGGACAGTATTAATAATTAATGTTCGTGTGTGTGTGTGTGTGTGTGTGTTTGTGTGTCTGTGTACGATTGTGTGTTCTGTGTAGTATCAGCATATGCTGATCTTTCCATACATGTGATGTTTACTACGATGCTAATGTCTTGCTGCCTGAATAATGATCAAGATTTATTATTATTATATATTGTTTTATTAATTAATTTATTTATTCACGATTTAAATTAAATTACAAATGAAATACAAATGAAAAGAAAAATTTAAATGTCACATTTAAGCAAACTGAACGAAGGCGTTACTAATTTTTATAGCATGTGTTTTGTTTCTCATTATTATAAATACAACATACATTGAGGAGTTGCAACTAAATATTCATACTGGCTTTATACGGTTTATTATTTTGGACCCTGGCTAGACTTTAACACACACACACACATATTTGTATATATATATATATATATATATATATATATATATATATATATATATACTAATATGATTATATATTACTTTACATATTACGTATTATATATATGTATATATATGTGTGTATATATATATATATATATATATATATATATATATAGGAAATAGTGAGTCGACTTGAATCCACAAGTACTTGAGTACACAAATAAAGGGTGAGAATTTTCCGACCTGCCTCCGCAAATACGGGGGCCAGTACGAGTACATAAATTGCGCTAAGTTGGTGTTTAAACTCTAGCTTCTGGTGAGTCCCATAAGGGACGAAAGACGTCTAGCCTAGAACGAGTTAGGTGTTCACAGTAATACACCTTTAGTCGTGGTGGGAGATGGTGTACTTGTGGGAGCAGGTTGAAAATTCTCATCTTGTATATGTGTGTGTTTGTGTGTGTATTTATATACCTACAATATATTCGGTTCGTCCTTACATGTTATATTTGTCATACATTTGATGCATTGTTTGATTGACAGTTCGTTCGTTTGTGCATGTTACATACATACATGTTTTAACGCTGATTTTCTTTTGTTTTATTTTAAAATTTTATTTTCAGTTATATTTTAATATCTGCTTGAAACGTTGATTGTGATGATTAAACATTGTGAAACTGTAAATGTACTGCAATGATGAAATGATGACGTGTAATGAATGCTAATAATTCAAAATCTTTATTAAGATTAATATGATAATAGCATAAATAAACTATAAATACTAGATGGTATAAATATAAGCGTAAATACATTTGATGTGGTGTTTTGTTTTGCTTAGAACCAAATAATTACATATATTATTATAAAAAAAATATATTATTAATAATATAATAGTACATTAAATTAATGTGTTTGCGTTTTCTAGTGACATCAAAACCAAACAAATAAAAGGTCAATTATTGTCATGTCCAGTCAACTCTCATATTAATTAATTACTTTAAATTACCATTCACTCTCAGCTTATTAATAGGAAAATTACTAAAACAGTTTATTTAATTAATTTCATCCTTTCTAAGCGGAACGAAAAATAAGAATAATAAATTTATGTTAACATAATTCAATTTGGCATACAAAATCGATATAGATTAATTAATTGAATTAATAAGATGTACGACAAAATGATGTAATCATACACGTACCACACACACACCCACACACACATATAGAGAGAGAGGAGAGAGAGAAAGGGGAAAAGAGAGAAAAGTAAAGGAAGTAAGAAAGACGTTTATATAATATTTTTAGTGAATACGTCGAGCTTCTCCATATAACAAGTAGCTGGTCATCATACCGAAATCGTTTGACCCAAACATTATATGCATTACAATACAATGCATACATACAATACAATATATTACAATACAATACATTACAATACAACACAATTCATTAATTTATTCTATATATGTGCAAAACGCGAGTAGTATGTCGGGATAAAATTTGGAGTAAAACTTATTGACAGTTAGGACAATTTTAAAGTTATTTTATTCAATTTAAAATTATTTTTCAATTATTTTGACTGTTAATGAGTGTTAAGAATGAAAAAAAATCACCCAAAAAATTAATTAATAACTATAAAGCGCTTCCAAGTTTAAATGGCGCACACCTATTTATATTTTATGCAAATGGCCTTGGGAATTTATTTATTTTTATTTTTATAATAAATTTGAATTAATCATTTTGAATGGTGAAAAAAATTAAGAAGAACGAGTACAAAAAAAAACAACTTTATAACACCGACAACTTTTGATAAACTTGAATCGTGCGAAACTGTGCGTTCTTAATGGCCACACAGTCCATCATAACTCAGGTCCAGAAGGAAGATGAAGTTTCATTAGGTTGTGTGGGGACTGCCGCCATCACCACCACCACACCTCTTGATGGTTAGTTTCGAATTTAAGCATAGTTTTGATGTGTAAGTTCGTTTGGTTTTGTTAGTTAAGTCGATCATTTTGTTGTTGGGGGTTAAGTTTGTTGTGTGTTGTTGTTTCAATGTGTGTGTGTGGTGTGTGCAGAGCAGATTTTTTTAATTTTTTGCTCCTTAAAATTTAAATTGCTAAAAAATTAATCTTACTAAAAAATGGCAAACATAAAAACAAATGGACATCTAGTTGTTTTGTTTGTTTGTTTGTTTGATCTTTGATTGATTGATGAAAGGAGCAAGAATCAAGTAAAATGGAACATAATGTTAAATATGTTTTTACTTCATTTCTTTACTACCAACAAAAATAAAAATTAATTTTTAAATCTGGAAGTTATTATATTATTGAAAAACCTTTATTAATTATTTAATATAAATAGAAATGCCTGATTAGTTTGGTATTTAACTATTTAATAATGTTATGCTAGTATTTATACTGTTTATAATTTAAAAAAATTGGTTTTATTAATAAAATTAGCATTTAACATTTATAAAACTAAATAACTTAGTTACAGTTACACTCTTGGCTTAACAAATTAAGTTAATTACTAACAAAATAATATTAAAGTATTGTTATTTTTTTTAAACATTTGTTTTTTTTTAATAAAAGTTTGTTTAATTTTTTAATACAGTCATTATTTGAAACAAAGTTATATTTCAAACATATATTTTATGTTTTGTATTTATATTTAGAATAGTTTATCATCCATATTTGCACTCTTAACAATCTGTTATACATGTTATATCCAGTTATTGACATGTATTTTCTACATTAATATGTTGTTTTGTTCTAATATATATATATTTTTTTACCAGCATTCCCTAAATACAACGCTAGAAATTTAGTAAATTTCAAAAATTACTGTATATATTTATATATAATCACATTTATTAAATAACATTTTATACTTTTTTTTTACTATAATCAACTTTTATTCATTTTATACTTATACCATGCATCATACTTTGAATACTATATTTTAATTAAATTTATCATTTGATTTGCAATTGTGGGATTTCAAATTCTAATTTTATATATTCTAATTATTATAATTACTGTATATATGCAAGGTTATGTGGGGCTATGCAAGGATTTATTAACTTATTATACATGGGCAATGTTCACGTTCAATTTTATAAGTAAAGTTCAGATGGCTGAATACAAATTTTGCAAAAAAAATTTTTTTTAAATTCAAATCGGAGTATAAAAATTAGCTATTAAATCATACGTTCAGCTTAATGTTTTTAATAAATATAAGGTTCTTGTATAGATAAGAAGACAAGACTTTTTATTTTCATGAATAACATTTTTTTATTTAATGCGTTTAAATCTTTTTCAAATCAAATAAACGTTAGCCAGTGGTTAATTCTTATTGATATTTATATATATATATATATATATATATATATATATATATATATCTGTGTGTGTGTGTGTGTGTGTATGTGTGTGTGTGTTTATATATAATCATTATGTTTCATTACGTCCTACCTCGGGGAACTGGGTCTCTGGATGCTAAACGAAGATTGATTGATTATGTTTTATTAATGATAATTTAGACCAATAATATTTTTGTGTTTGAATTGTTTATTTACATTTCATTTTAGGATTGATTCAGAACAGCAGCTAAAAGTCATTCATTGATGAATAAATTAATTCACAAACATGTATATATATATATATATATATATATATATATATATATATATATATATATATACGATGATCTATAAAACACTAAACACATCTCAACCACCATATTTTCACAAACTCATTCGCCTCTGTTCATCTGTTAATCACATCACCTTCATCCACTGTCATCATTGCATCTGCATCAACCAATAAAGGCTTTTCTTATTGCTCACCATCATCAGTATGGAAAAGTTTGCCACTCATCGTCCGTCAACAATCATCGATAGAAGTGTTTAAGAAGCGATTGAAGCAGCATCTGTTTGAACAGGCTTTTGGTGGCCCTGCTGACATTTGCTTATCCTGGTGCCTCTGACGCTATGCATAAGGCGCTGCACAAACGACATTATTATTTATATCATTATTATTATATATATTGATTGACTGACTCTTACTCTAATTGATTGACTGTTTATTTAAATGCTCATATATCCAGTGCCTAAAAAGCCAAAAGCCCCAAGTCTCCTGAGGCAGTTGTTATGTTGTTTTCGACCGAGGTCTGTTGTTGGTCAGCAGCAGAGGGGCACGATACTCCAACAGCACCAACTTCACCCTCAACTCAACTGCTCCAGCAACAATAGCTGCAGCAACAACAACACCCATGGTTCCTCCAATCTGCAGAGTGCCTTACTGTCCTCCACTATCGATGAGATGATCATCGAGAAGGTGCTTGCTTTCTCATAACGCTGCTGCTGCTGCTGCTGTTAATTTTGTTTTCACAATGTGGTGTTACAAATTGTTGACAACCAAATTTTTAGTTAAGACATTTCCTAATAACATGATTAATGTATATGGTTTGAAAATTACAAAAATAATTGGTGTCGTCAGGTGTGGATCTTTTTTAAATAATTTTTCGATTTAAAATTTTTTTATATGCATTCTAAGAGCAATTAAAAGAATAATGGATAGATAAATTAATGTTAATTAATAGATTACTTACCTAATTAATAAATGAATTGTAAAACACAATTGCAAGGTCCACGAGGACAAACCACTTCTTCCCCCACCAAGCGAGATCGACTCCAAACGAATATGCGTCGTCATTGATCTCGACGAGACACTTGTACACAGTTCTTTCTCTGTAAGTTGGTTGGGGCCAGATTTTATTTTCCTATTTCAGCACCTTTCACAAGCTGATTCAATTAGGCAAACATATAATTAGGCTCAATTTTCTGGGTAGCATTCTCATTATATAAACTTTCATCGTTATGTTTCTATTTAGTGATGTTATTATTATTCTATTATCTTTTTAAAATTCCATTCTTGTTTAACTTTTTGCTATATATGGCGATGCCATGTGTGTATACTTTTTTTTTTTTATTAATTTCGAAGATTTTCTAGTGCTTAATTATGTTACGAACATGCATTCATTTTTATTTCAGCCTGTCCAAAATGCAGACTTTATCATACCAGTTGATATAGAGGGCACTATACATCAAGTTGGTTTATCTGTTTGTCTTTCAATAAATTATTTGTTCATCCATCCATCATTCATCCGTTCATTCATTCATCCATTCATTTATCCATTCATCCATTTATTCATTCATCCATTCATTTATTCATTCATTCATTCATTCATTCATTCAATGAATCGGTTAACTAATCAATCACACAAGGCACAACAATCAATTTGGTTGATTTGTCAATGTGAGTCAGTTAATTAATTAAAGAAAGAAAAATTAATCTTGTCAATTTTCCCCTGTCAACCTCATCACCATCCTTTTTTCATTCCAAAGCTGCCAAGTAGTTTAACACACCCATTGTATCTGCTTGCCTGTCTGAAATTGAGATGATTAATTGGAGTACTTTAAGATAATTTGAGAATATTGTTATATCCATCGTCAGAATGGTGGAATTACGCTATATAATTACTTATTGTTATCTTGTTATAATTGTTATTCATGTTTTACCATGTTCTACTGTGCTTGCTTGCATAGGTCTACGTGTTGAAACGGCCGTACGTGGATGAGTTCTTGGAAAGGATGGGCGATCTATTTGAGTGCATCCTCTTTACTGCCAGTTTAGGAAAGGTGAGTACTCTGCATTTTTGTGGCTGTTGTTGTTTTTGTGGCTGTTGTTGTTTTTGTGGCTGTTGTTGTTTTTGGGCTTTGTGTTACATTTTGTGTGTGGTTGTTGTTGTTTTGTTTTTGTTGGGCTTTGTGTTACATGTTGTGTGTGGTTGTTGTAGCTGTTGTTGTGTGTATTGCTGTTGTCATTGTCGTTGTTGATGTTTTTGTTGTTGTTTTTGTGCTTTGTGTTGAATGTTTTGTGTGAGTGTCTTTTGTTTAGGTCTTATGTGTTGTGTTGTTTTGCATTGATGTGTTGCTGTATTGTGTGTTGTTTTTATGTTGTTACGTGTTGTTGTATGCTGTGTTGCGTTGTGTCGCGTTATAATATTTACTGTGCATACTCTGTTTTTGTTTGTATTTCATTTGTCCATTCTTTCACTTGATTTGTATATTTCTTCCATTTATGTATGCACTCACTCATCTGGTTTTTTCATTACTCTGTTTCTCAATACATTCAGTCATGCATTCCTTCGATCCTTATCTACTTCTTCATTTCTGTATATCCCATTCGTTTCGTAGCTAATTGTTTGTTCTTTGGTTTAATCATTTTTCATTAATTCATTTTTTTTCAGTTTATTTGTTCATATGTCTAATAGATACACAAAATCATTAATCATTGAACTAACCAATCATTCCACCTATTAATTGAATCAACCATCCAAACTACCAAACAGTCAATCAACCATCTTACTGTCTGAACAGTTAACCTGCCAATAAATTATTCAACCAATCAATCTTAATCTAACTGTCCAGCCAATCAATAAACCAATTATCCAATCAACTAATCAATTATTAACAAATCATCCAATCAGCCAACCATCCAAACCACCAATCAATAAACCAATTATTGAACCATCCAACCAACCAACCATTTAACCAATCAATCAACTGATCATCTATTCAACCAACCACCAATCAATCAATCAACTAACCAACCATCCAACCAACCATTCATCCAACCAACCATCCATCCAACCACACAACCAATCAGTACGCCGACCCAGTGACAGACCTCCTAGACAAGCGGGGAACATTCAGGACTCGACTCTTTCGAGAGTCCTGCGTTTTCTACAGAGGAAGTTACGTCAAAGTTAGTACACTCTTGTACACCTGAAACGCCAGCTTGTACATCGGTAGTAGTACACGTAGTACGCTAGCTAATAGAGAAGTGTGTACTCTTGTATGGTAGTATTTGTATGTTTATTATGTTAGTATGGCAATGGAGTAGTACAGAGCTGATGTCGAGGATGGGACTGAATGAGGACATTGTGACATTGGTAAGGAGATCGAGATTGCGATGGTATGGACATGTGTTGAGAAGGGATGAAAGGATCGGGATTAGGCGAGCGTTGGAGTTCGAGGGTTGAAGGAGTGATAGGAAGGGGTCGTCCGTGATTGGGATAGAGGGAGCAGGTGGAGAAGGACATAGTGAAAGCGGGGTTGCGTGATACTGGGGTGATTGACAGATGTGGATGGCGTCGAGGGCAATGTCGTCTAAACGTGTGTTGTTGTTGTATGATAATTTATCGCATTGATAGTTTATTCAGTACAGTTGTACTTTATTGTAACAGTACTTTTTTATATTAGCGTGTTAGTGTGTTTGTTCATTAGCAGTGTTGTGTAATGATAATGAACCTTCTCACGAAGGGGTAAATCTTTGCAGCTGTTGATGTTGTTGTTGGTGATGATGGGAATTGTAAGGATTTTGATGGCAACCACTTATGTGAAGTTATTATTGCTAATAAAATTGTATTAACGTCATTAATAAAAAGATTAATGATAATTTTAATAATATTAAATAATAATAAAAAGATAATGCCACGAAATTTTTAAACATTTGTGGTGTGTGATGATAAACAGTGGTTATTGTCAAATGTGATGATTACCATCGTTGCTACATTGTATGTAGAAATGTAGAGACATGTTTCTGTTTGTGCAAGCCAATGTATGTATCTATCTTTTTTTTATTGAGTCTACTGAGCAAACATTTTATTTAAAAAATGTCACTTTATGTACTTTCATCAAATTTTACGAGAGCTTTCCATGTAGTCGGTGTGGTGGCCACAAGGTTTTTTGATGTCGGAAGCATGCAGTAATGGCAGATTGTGGCAGTTGGTCAGTTAGCTCAGATGGTAAAAGTGCTAGCTATCACAATCCTGTCAATGCATGATGACCTGGTTCGAATACTGTATGTCTCAAAGTCTTGATTGTGTCTGTGTGTGTGCACGGTTGTGATGGTAGATGTTGATGATTGACGGGATGATGGGTGTTTTTTTGATTTGTGGTTTTTGCATAGGCTTTTTAAAAACCATGCAATTATTTTTAAATGCTTCCGATAATTCAGTACAGCATTCATTGTGCAATGTAGGATAGTGCTACTATCTATACAAATAGTATAGTATCACATCCACATAGGATCAGAATTGAATGAATATTCATGTACGTACCTGTACATACCTGTAGGGTTATTTGTGCATGAATATGCAACGTATTAACTTCATTTATTTCATTTTGTTGTACAATAGTTTATTGATAATTCTTAATTATTTAACCAATTAATTTATTCGTTCATTTGTTCGTTGATTCATTAATATTCATAACCATGTGTCACGTGCGTACAAATGGTACTGATCATGTCCCAGCATTTAATTGTTGATTTCATGTTTGACATGTCTGAGCACTGAAGCTTCTAGCTTCAAATTTATTGCATTTGAATTTTGGTCTAAAGAAAAATGTTAGTTATTCTCACGTTTTTAAAAAATAATTTACTTTGTGCAATTTATTTATTTACAATTTTTAATGATAATCACGGGACTGCACACCAACTTAATTACAATTAAACTTACAGCACCACTGAGATTGGACTTGTACCTACCTACCAAGCTACCTACCTACCTACCTACCAAGCTACCTACCTACCTACTTACCTACCTACCTACCTACCTACCTACCTACCTACCTACCTACCTACCTACCTACCTACCTACCTGAACGTGCATACCGAAACGCATACAAACAATTTGTAATTTGTATGTAAATTTGTATAAATGCATCGTTTAAACTTGTATTACTAGATAGAGAGAGAGGGAGAGGAGAGCTTTGTGTAATAGTTTTTTGATAGTATGATAATGCTGTTGGCCGCATTTGAAACCGGATAATTTCACTGGCTGCCTATTTATTAATTTCACATTTGACTATTGTTTTTCATTGCGCATAAACAGCCTGAGTTAAATGTGCGAACAATGCAAGACATGAATGAATGTTCATTTGAAGTGTAGTTGGAGGCACTCACGCACTGGCATTCTCTGGCATGGGATCTTGATGTAGCAGACGTATTTTTTTATTGAGGTGTATTGAAGCGTATTAAAGCGATTTGTTAAAAAACGGATGTTGTAATTGTGAGCAAACAATTTCAAATATTATTGATTGATAGGATTTTTGCAGTTTGAATCTATTTTGAATGAATTTAAAAGGATGAATTGATTAAAGGAATGAATTGATTGAGTGAATGAATGAATTTATTAAATGAATGATTTGATTGAATGAATGAATTGATTGAAGGAACAAATTGATTGAATGAATGAATTGATTGAACGAATGAATGAATTGATTGAACGAATGAATTGATTGAATGAAAAATCGATTTAATGGATGAATTGATTAAAGGAATGATTTGATTGATTGAAGGAATGAATTGATTGAATGAATGAATGAATTGATTGAAGGAATGAATTGATTGATTGAATAAATCGATTGAATGGTTTAAAGATTAATTGATTAAAGAAATGATTTGATTGATTGAAGGAATGAATTGATTGAATGAATGAATGAATGAATTGATTGAATGAATCGATTGATTAAAGGAATGATTGGATTGATTGAAGGAATGAATTGATTGAAGGAATGAATGAATTGATTGAAGGAATGAATTGATTGATTGAA